AATTTCGCGTCGTCGTGAGCCCTTATTTTCGTGGGCTTTAATAGCAGACGGTCTGACGGCGCAGGTACACCGGGCCACCTTGAAGAACCTTTGCGGCTCCCTCGTTTGCCAGAAAATCCAAGCCGGTCTTGCATGGCTGTGGAGGGTGCAGGCTTGTCGCCCTCTTTTGGCTTTATCTGCTGCACTCTGTCCATGAATGCCTCATGCTGCCAGCCCACAAACGCTTGTGCATTTCTCGCATCTCCAGATCCTGCTCACCGTGCAAGGCTGAGCCTGCCGGCACCTTCTACCGTCGAGTGAAAGTTTTGCACTGTATGGCAGGTCGTCTGCACGCGAAGGGACACCCCAACACCTTTGGTGATATTTACGGCTCACTCACTCGGTCCCAGGAGGTGCAAGTCTGTCTTGCGTGGCTGTGGAGCGTGCAGGCTTCTCGCTCTCCTGTTGGCCTTGTCTGTCTGCGTTCACATGGGTCCATCCTTATGTGCCGGGTACAGCCAGCCAGCAAACTGTGGTTTTGTCGCTTCTTGAGATCTTGCTCGCCGTGCTAGGCTGAGCCTGCCGGCTCCTTCTGCTGTGGAGTGGAATTTTTCGTATTGTCGTGAGCCCCCGTTTTTGTGGCTTCGATGGCAGGCCGTCTGCATGCAAAAGGACAGTCACGAGGATGCAGGCTTGTCGCTCTCTTTCGGCCTTGTCTATGCATCCAGCCTTAGCTCACGGTGCTAAGCCGAGCTTCCCGGCTCCTGCCAGACCAGTGAAAGTTCGCATTGTTGTGAGCCGCCGTGTTTCAGTGCTTGGATGGCAGACTGGCTGAAGGCAAAGGAGCTGGTAAGGGGACACCGCAAGACTTCGGGGGTCTTTTGCGGTTCACTTGCTCCCAGGGTATCCAAGCCTCTCTTGCATGGCTGTGGAGGGTCCAGGCTTGTCACCATCTTTCGGCCTTGTCTGTCTGCATCGCATGTGTTCATCCTTATGTGCCAGCAGACGCTTGTGCATTTCTCGCATCTCGATGCTGAGCCTGCCGGCTCTTTCTGCTGTTCAGTTAAAGTTTGTCGTGAGCTCCCATCTTCTTCGGTAGCTTCTTCAATGGCAGGCTGTCCAAAGGCAAAGGGACACCGGGCCACCTTGAAGAACCTTTGCAGCTCACTCGTTTGCCAGGAGATCCAAGCTTATCTTGCATGGCTGTGGAGGGTGCAGGGTTGTCGCCATCTTTCAGCCTTGTTTGTTTTCGATCGCAAACATCCTTGCGAGCCCCATTTGCCTTTCCCGCTTTTTGAGGTCTCGCTCTCCGCACTAGGCTGAGCCTGCCAGCGCGTTCTTTTCTGGAGTGGAAAGTTTCGCACTGTCGTGAGCCATCGCTCTTGCGGCTTCGATGGCAGGCCGTCTGCAGGCCAAGGGACACTCGCGAGGATGAGGATGCAGGCTTGTGGCCCTCTTGTGGCTTTGTTTGTTTATCTTCACATGTGTTTGGCCTGTTGTGCCTCATGCAGCCAGCGAGCAAGTGATCCTAGGCCGCTCGGCCGAGGAAGCAGGGACCCGAAGGCTTCGGGCAGCCGCGTAAGATCTTCGCAAAGTTTCTCACTCCATGTAGCGTACATGAGCGACAGCACGGACAGGAATTCCAACATGTGAGAGTGACAATGAGCTGGACCGGGAACGAAAAAAATTGTGTGCTAGCATTCGATGGGCCTACTGGTGGGGATAACCTTAAACCCTAAACCCGAGACCCTAAACCCCAAGGGTTGGGTGGGGCGCTTTTCGTCGAGCAGGCTTCAGGCCGATGAGGCGGGTCAGGCGGGTACAAGAGAAATCTTAGTCATACATCCGCTTTGGTTCACCCAGGAAGCTGTGGGTTAAGGGATTAGGGTCAAGTGCGTTGATGACTGGCGAAAGCCAGAACCAGCCCATCTAACGGCCAAAAAAGCAGTCCCTGGCTTAGGGTTTACAGGAGTTGGGGTTTAGGCTGAAGGATGCACGAACCTGAGCCCGAAACCATTAGGCAAGGCTGTGAGATTAATGATTGTTAGAGCATGGTTGGCAACCCTACGCTCTGGATTTGACTACACAATCCCTCCACGCCCCAGTCCATCGTGACGGTTCCCATGTACGACACCCTCGGTGCTGACAGCCTCTCGACTTGGATCAGCTGGTGACGATGGGGCCCTGCCTGCATTCACCACCTAGACTCAAGGGCTTTGAATCATAGCAAGGGCATCCTGTCGCCATCCTAGTTCTGCAGCAACCAGACAAGAAATGAAAACTAGACTAGAGCATTCGGAACTAAATCCTATCGACTAGCCGGAGATTCTGCAAGCCGGTGTTCCGTTTCCTCGCATCTTACTAC